ACATATATATACATATATATATATATATACATATATATATATATATATATATATATATATATATATACATATACATATGTACATATATATACAAACATTTATTCATTCATTTAAAAAAAAGAAATGAATACTTTTACACATTAAATTGATCAAAAACATTAAATTGACTTTTATGACTTTAAAAAAGATTGATATTTCAAATAAATTCTGTTCTTTTGAACTTTACGTTCATCAAAGAATCCTGAAAAATTAAATGTATCATGGTTTCCACAAAAATATGAAGCAGTTCAACTGTTTTCAACATTGATAATAATCAGAAATGTTTCTTGAGCAGCAAATCAGCATATTAGAATAATTTCTGAAGATCATGTGACACTGAAGACTGGAGTAATGATGCTGAAAATTCAGCTTTGATCAGAGGAATAAATTACATTTTACAATATATTCATATAGAAAATGGTTATTTTAAATTGTAATAATATTTCACAATAGGCTATTACTGTTTTACTGTATTTTTTATCAAACAAATGCAGCCTTAATAGGTGTACATAAGTAAATCTTTGTTTTATTTTAGCTCATTTAGTACATAAATTAATCTATTGCTATAACTAAGAGAAAATATTAAATATAAACTTTTTTGTATTCTATTCTAAATCTATTTTTAGATTTTACTACATCCCCCACCAAAATAAATAAATAAAAATACTAATTTGATCAGCTACTGTATTTATTGCTTGTGAATTGCTCATCACTTTATTTTCGGTCTGTTTTTAAAAGAAAACCAGCTGTATTTATAATTAAGAAAATTCTCAATTGTTTAAACACTGACGTTTATCTGGCATAACAACGGTGAACAAGAGAAAAAAAACAGTGCTGGCATCTTTCTTTTCCCGTAAGAGATCATCAGAGCACCATCTTGATGGATTAATGGCACTGATGTCTAACAATAGCAAAAATATATTTTTACAAAAAAGACCTCCAGAAAATGATGGTCCGCCGCCAACTGTGCTTGTTATGATGTTTCTTCTGTGCTTGAAAAAACAAATATGCACATTGTCCTTTGCATACCTTAAGAATATTTCCCATGTTATATCTTTACAGCGGCTAAGGTCATTTTCTGTGAGTTTTTGGAGAAAATATATAGATGTCATAAATCATGAGCGGATCAGATTCGCCCCGGGCGGCTGGAGAATTCAAAGGGCTTCCATCAGCACTCTTCAAAATCAGCCATGATCTTCAATCTGTCATAAACACTGAATTTATACAGCATCTCCTGGAGACAGAGAGATGTAACAAAGATTTTCACATCGCTTATAAGAGAGAAACATCGCAAATGAGATCTCTACTCTCTGAATTGTTTC